TGTCGGGTCCGATCATTTGATAAGCATTTGGCTGGCGCCGAGTCGCTGTGAGTGGTGGCCTCTCCGCCGGACTATTGTGGACACTGAATAAGGTCATGTATTGTTATAGGCAGCGGCTTTGCCGGCTGATGCCTGCACGCCTTCTTCTGAGATAAAGAATGGATTTGCTGAGCGGGCCCGGCTCCGCCGCGCTTATCCTTCTCCTCACCGGCTTTTCTTTTATACAGATAGTCAACAATCTTTGACCAATATGTTCATACGAGTAGCTCACTTATAGTGCACTACATGATTCTTTTATATAGTGAGGTTGTAAACAATCACACATTGCCTCAAAGTGATAAAACATGGATTTTATTCGCAGACTTCTTGCTAATCGTTGATGCTTTGCTCCTTAACCTTTTCTTATCGTTTATTAAAACACTTGTGATGAGTTTCTACTAAAACGCCCTCTATGCTTCCCTCCGTATCTCCTCATATCCCACCCATCCCACAGTATACCTCCCCATCCCCTTGCCTCACCCACTCCCTCATCCCGGCCGCTGCACGTGCTCACGTCCACCTGCCACGCGAGCAGCTCGTGCAATGGTTTGGAGTGCACTACATGGTTCTCTTATATAGTGCAGGGTGTTATCACAATCAAAACATTGGATTGATACATCTGCACCAACTGGTTTCGCCACCGGCTAGCGGTCGTACACTCTTCCTACACTGCCGTGTTTTGAACCGCCGGTGAAAAAGCATTTTGCGGACGGACAGACATACATACATACATACATACCGACAAACCGACACACAGAATTAGTGGTTTATAGAATGTAAGGATTACCATGTGTAAGCGGATAGATGACGTGTCATTGACGTCACATAACGCGTCAATGACGCGTATTGAGACGTCATTGTCAATAATGCAATGCAGATTTCCTTACTGTGTGCGATCCGGCTATACATGAACTTGAGAACATTCGACAGACGAATTATGGTAACAGTATTGGCAGTCCAATAACCACACGGGCGAGGTGCAAACTTGGTTGGCCTGCGCGGGAGCCGATCCTGGCGTGCGACCCTCGCACCGTGTCGTCTAGTAAACTTGTGCTCACTCGCCCTACAAATACCGCCTTCCATTCATTTCCTTTATCCTAACTCTGAACAGGTAATAGGACTGAACCTGCACCACGGTCCTAGTTTTTTCAATGATTGTTTGTTATTAGTGTGTACCTACGCGAATGGTGGGGTCTGTGGGATTATCAGCGGCACTGCGCTGAGTGAGAAACTTCGCACAATACGACCTCCTGACCATCGCGACAGGCGCACCCTCCTACGTGAAATTTCCGCGAATCTTTTCACGACTTCCCTTTTTCGGAAATCCGCGCACCTTCTTCTCGACAGACTGCCGTCGAGCGGGTAGCAAGTGGGAGGGACGGGGGGGGGGGGATAATGGCTGATCGCACACGTGTAACGGGAGATAGTTGGAAAAGTCAGTAACTCTGAAAGTTTTTTTCGAGGGCAGTCACCTCCGCTCCTGCTGCCGTGTTGCTGAATTCTTAATGTATGGCATTGGCTCTGTTGTCTGTGATGATATGATTTGTTGATACAGAGCCAGACTGCTTGGGTTTAAATCAGGATTTCGGCCTCTGGATCATGTGTATAGTGGCAGCGCCTCTTGTCACTACGCTATTGAAATTCTAATGAGATTGTTTTTATAAATAGTTGGAACTCTACGTAGTGAGCATTTCAGATCATTACGACCTCGGTAACGGCATGTTTCGGATGTTTCTTGATCCCACAATGACGTATTCCTGCGCTGTTTTTTGAAGGTAAATACCAGTAACTTCTGAGTTCTTTTGAGCCTTTGTTTTTTTATATCTCTTTGGTTTTTTTACCAGGTCAGTTCTCAGTTCTTTAGAGGCGCTGTCTAAGGATTCTACGCTGATCTCCTTCTACGAAAAGTGGTCGGGAACTGCATTACTTGTAGAGCAGAGATATAGTGAAGATTTGTAACACCCTTTTTCGAAGACGTAATTCACAAACCTTTTTCAAAACAAATATCAACCTTTTTTCAAAACAAATTCACGCCCTTTCGGACCAAATTCACCTGCACTTTGTCACATCAACTACAACCACACCCATTAGGGGCGGGCACACTCATCAACCTTCAGATCTTGCGCCAGACATCACTGCGAGCCCCGCCCCGACGGCCACGCCCACTTGTCAGCGCGGACATAGATTCTCAAATCTTGTTTCATAACTTCTGCTTTTGCTGTTTCCCACAAACTTTCGACTGGAAAACGCGAATGGCAATGTACTGACCGACTCCGCACATTCTCTAAAGGGTTTGGTCAATCCAGGCTGGACCACCCACGCCCACGCTGCTTTTCGGCGACTTTCGACTTTTTTCAAAATTTTCGCATTTAGGGCTGCTGGCGCGTAGGCCCCCGCGCACTGTAAGCGGCTCCGCGCCACTTTCTCAAAATAAGTACAGGTCGGCAGTATAGAGGCCTTGGCATCGCGATGCTAGGGTATTGCGATCAATTCCGAACAAAGTTTGCCGGAATTTTCGTGTTCCGAATGACGAACGTGAGCTCCGGGGAATGGATGTTTGGCGTGATCTGGTTGATGACGTTTCCGCTAACGAGTGTGGTTTATTTGATGTGAAAGTGAGGGTGAAACTTGTCAATAAAGCGAGGTGAATTTGTTTGAAAAAAGGGTGAAATTGTTGGTTTGAAAAAAGGTGAATTCAAGGTGTAAATGGTAATGTGATCGGATTGGAGAAACTAGAAAGAAATTGTGAGCAAAACTTGGAATCCCGCTCTTAGACCAGATTGTGCACGGAACTTTTCGCCGGCTATAGAAACTTTCCCGATTGTCCTGTGGTGTGTCGTCGCTATAAAATCCACTGCAGTTCGTTTTCGGGGGACTGCGACCTAAATTCAATCCAACATGAGAGTGCAGCGTTGCAGCACTGCGTCGTTTGACTTTCGTGAGCATGTGTGGTGCTCCGTCTACCAGAGTTGAAGTACTCGTCGGTATCAAACTTATTTATTTATTTATTCTGCGCCCAACGCACGAGCCATGGGCACCTCAAGATGAGGTAGCGAGTGCGGTAAGTAAAACATGGCAATATTGACTAAGAGAAAAAAATGAAATAAAATAGTATAACAAAACTTAAACAGAGGCTGCAACAGAGAAAACTTATGAAACTTAGGACACAAAGGTCCCGATAGCATCGAACATAGTTACGCGCGAAGACAGATCTGAACTATTGATCTGATACAAGGTTTTTCGTAGATTTGGGTGACGAAGGTTATTACCGGGATCGGCACGTGTCGGCTACGAGGAGGGGGACTTCGCACATTCGCTCAACTAGTTCCGGTTTAGATGTCTCACTCTGGTGAAACCTTTGAACTCCTGTGAAGCTGGAACAAGCTCGTCGAGCTACTTGCTAAAAGGTGTCAACCCGAGAAAAGACTCTCCTCCCTCTATGCCGTGACTATTGGTCTTCGGGCTGCACCTGGCTCATTTGCTCATGCTTATTCTTCTGATAATCACCGTTGAAAAGTGTTAGCTATTGTTGAAGGCACGCTACGCGTTTACCTACAGGAGTGTGAAAGAGGTGGGAGTACCTCTGTTCACCATGGAACACAGCTCGTACAGCTTCGCGGGAAAAATGGCAAGGTAAGGCTGCGTTTATACTTTGCCGGCAGCGTAGGCGTACCGCCTCCAGGCGGTACACGCCCAGCGGCAGTGGCGGCGAGAGGATGCGATATTCGACTCTATGCGTCCCAGCGTCACCAGCGTTCACGCCAGCGTTTCTCCAGCGTTTCACCAGCGTTTTGCTGGCGTTTGCAGCGGCAGGGGAGTAGAGACTATGTGGCCGTCAGAGACGCGGAATCGATGTGTATTGTAGAGACTGAGGGCGAGTGAGAGACGCGCAATCGATGTGTTTTGTACCCTCCAGCTCTCCCATAGTCTCTACTCCCCTGCCGCTGCAAACGCTAGCAAAACGCTGGCGTACGCTAGCGTTACGCTGGTGACGCTGGGAACGCTAGATCGATATCCATCCTCTCCCCGGCACTGCCGCTGGCGTACGCTGGAAGCGCTACGCTACGCTGCCGCAAAGTATAAACGCAGCCTAAGGGTCTACGGCGCGCTGTTCCAGTGAAGCCTCCTTCTTGCCAATTACTCCGCTTCCAGACTCCGTTATGCGGACACCACCTGGACGAAGGCGTTCTGCTATTCTTCCGATTCGGCAAGGTTGAATGGGTCCCATTAGGGCGTTTCCCACGTTCACTTTAGCCTTTTTGACTTCACTGACAAAACCTTTGGCACCTCCTGCCTTCTCTTCATTTCAACACCATTATGGCGCTCCCAAATGCGAGCCCTACATTTGTTTTGGACGAGTTGCCGTTCCCAGAAGACGGTTTGACGTTCCTTGGAAGGTCAGGGGCAGAATTTTCGTGTCAAACGACATTCCACGCATCTAGGAAGTTTGCTCCTGCTTAACTAGGAGTTTAGCTATTGGTTCTGAGCCCTCGTGTTCACCAGCTGTCCACGGGCTGCTTCTCATTGGGATCATCATCAGGGCACAGCATTCGATGGGGATTTTGGTCGAGCTTTTACGACCCCCCCCCATGCTCGTACGATGGCTGACATGGCTGACTGTGGTTGTGGTTTATACTCGGCGAAAAAGGTTGTATGTAGTAGGGAGATATGTAGTAGGCATGCGACGTACATCGTACGGGCGTACATAGTACCTATAACACAGAAAATTCATAAAACTCATGAAGTGAACCACGTAACTCCTGGCCAGAAATACGACCCCCTCCCAACAACGACCAAATACGACCCCCCCCCATAGGGAATCCCCATCGAACGCTGTGCCCTGATCATCATCGTAACAAGCGAGATTTCGCACGCTATTTCCAGCGACCTTGTTTAGGGTGATGAAGGGATCCAATTTACGTGCACAAAGCTCTTAGGAAGACCACAGCTCTTCTGCCAGTATGCAGTTGATTGAACTGTTTGCAGAGCCGCTGGAACCGGTCAACGAGGTTGATTTCAAAATTCTCGAAGAGGCGCAAAACAGAAAAATGGACAGGTTGATTGGAATGCTCGATTTGAAAACAACTGACAGGATATTGGAAGTCGGATGCGGTTGGGGAGCATGTGCAATCCGAGCTGTGAAGGTTAGCCAGAAGAAGAGAGGTTGTCCGAAATCGGAAGACTTTGATTCCAGAAAATTCCAGAAAACCCCATGTGACTGGACTGGAATCACAATCTCACATGAACAACTCGAATGGGCGAAACGATTAGCGGCGGAGGCGGATTTAGAGGATAAAATTTGTTTCAAGTACCAGGACTACAGGTAAGAAAGTTCATCTTCTCTGGTATGGGTTGCGAACTGCTATCGTGACGGCGCGGCGTTGCAGGCGATGTCGTGTGCGCGGCATTCGCACCAGAACATGAACTTACGCCACATGATAAGGGTACTGTAAGTCGTGCACGATGCCTTTTAAGCTGGTCAAGTGACTAGAAAATCGCGCGCGACGAGCTTCTTTTTACGCGTCGCCGCAACCCGGATGTCAGGGCCTACACACTACTGATTTTGTCGCGAGGACGACTCGTGATCACTCATCTGCACCTTATCTTCAGTCGCAACCGTAAGGGAGGTGGATCTATTTCCGCAGAGAGGATGAAGGGAGATTTTAGGCAAATTTTTTTGATTGCTAATTTTTCATGTGGTACGCACCCCTCCCCTTACCATCCTATAAGGCTGGCGATGCCGCAAAACTACTATTTGTGAAAGCTGATGGAGGGTGTATACCCTCATGCCCTCTCGACGAGGAACACTTGGAAAATTTTGGTAAGGTGATGAGGCAGCCGTGGAACGGGTCTTAAGAGATCTTGGGGGAGGGGGGAGGTGTATTGGGGTGTGCTCTCGGTAGTGACTCTCGCCACTACCAGGACGTGCCCTGGAAAGCACACGACCGAGATGAAGAATAGTCCGTTCCACAAGTGCGCACGAAATTGATAGCGTTTCTTGCTCGTAGCACGCCCCTAGGATAGGGTGAGTCAATGTTATTATAAGTTCGCCGTGTTTCAGGTTAACAAGTGGCCAAGTATGACAAAATCATTTCTGTTGAAATGATCGAGGCAGTAGGACAGTTATTCCTGCCTCAGTACTTCCAAGTGCTATCTGATAGGCTCCTTCCGGGTGGAATCGCTGTTCTGCAGGTATCTTATCAATCTAAATATTCTTGATTGCTGTTCTGAAATTCGTTCAAATTCATCCAAAGTATAGTGTACTTCGCTGCGGGCGGTTGAGCGTGTCAGGCAGGGCACATCGTTTTTGGGGAATCCCCAATAGGGGGGTCGTATTTGGCCGCCAGGAGAGGGGGTATTTGGGCTGGGAAAAATTTATTTTGATAGTTGATTTTTCTCGCTTCATGGACGTTGTAAAGGGGGGGGGTCGTATTTGGTCATTGTTGGGAGGGGGGCATACTGCCTCA